TGTGTGTGTGTGTGTGTGTGTGTGTGTGTGTGTGTGTGTGTGTGTGTGTATGTTTGTTACTACTATATATATATATATATATATATATATCAGTCTTGTGGTTGATTGTTTTGCCCGTGCGATTGTTGTACGTTGAAGCACTAGAATTATGCTCAGAACTACCGCAATTCAAACGCGACCATTATAACTACATGTTCCTTGATCTGTTTCGTTTGTATTAACGTCTTCAACTTATTACTAAATTCAGGTATTTGTCTGCCGTGCTTCTACTGCCTCTTAGCGACCTCATCGATGCTGCAAAGGATGTTTTTTTTTAATGTACAATCCACTTCTTTCCTAAAATTAATAGAACCAGTCCAGTTCCACGAGTGTATCAGATCTAACGCCGTTCAATGCCACTTCGCATTTGTTTCGAATATGTGTCCTTGGAGCAAGGTCGTGCGGTAAAACCTGCTTAATAGAGAGGTTCGTCGACGGGTTATACAACACAGAGACAGTATGTTTATACACTCATATTTAAATCCGCTCATTACAAGGATCATGAATGTTTTGTATGTCGCATAACTATATATGGTCGTTGGCTGATATTTAGGTACCGTACTGACATATTGTCGTTGATGTACTTCTGCTATGGTATAGTACATGGATTTAAGCCTGCTTATTGTATGCAAACAGGGATTGATGTAGTGAAAATATTCGGTAATTGGATACATCACACCTACTTGATTTATCATTGTCTGACGATTGCGTGATTATGTGGTTGATTTACATATATTTCTATTGTGATGGCTGCATCGAAATAACTGTTGCCTTGGAATTACAACTTAATTTCTGAGTGACTACCGATTTCAATGGAAATGAAAACAATTCGTAACTGGCAACTAATATAGAAAAATCAATTACTGACCAGTATTATGATGATTAAGGAGTTTCAAGAAGCAACACTCAGAATTTTTCTGGCAAAATCTGGTGCTGACTAGTATTCGAGTGACCTAATCCTATGTCTCCTCAAATATGTATACCCTGCAGGAACCTACCATCGAAGACACGTATGAAGTTATCACAAAAATGGGCAATGAAATGGTCACTACCCACATCCTTGATACCGCCGGAGAGGTGTGTAAACTGCCGTAGTTGCATTTTTTGGTCTCGGCTTCCACTCGATCAAGCAGTCGCCGATTACCTTGACATTCACACCCATATCCTTGTTGTATGTTTTTGTACCTTGTACCTCAATATATCTGTCTCTTTTCTCACCTTACAGGAGCTAAGTTCCGGAATGTACAGTTCATATATCAAGAAAGCTGACGTATGTGGGTGAGCCTCGGATATATTAGCCAGTCTTTCTTGTATTTATAAACATTCTAGTGCTTTTCGAGCAGATCAAGGTATCTCACATGCCATTTTAATAGTTGTAGAAGTTACAATCAAGTACATCAATACTATCCTCTGTCGCTCTGATTAGTCAAGTTTGTAACAATTTAAATTCAAGCGCCTTTGTCTGATTTGATCCCTTTCCTCGTATCTCACTTCTGTGGTTACTTGTAGGGATTTGTAGTTTGCTACAAGGTGCAAGATCATCAGTCCTTTACGGTCGCGTGCAAAATGATGGCCGAAATACGAAGATTACGTTACGAAGATGTAAGTAAGCAACACATATGTTCCCTTATTCCACACACGTGTGTCGATTTTGTACATCTGCAGTTCATCGTATATTTCACTCAGGGATTCTGTCATTTTTTTTTATCATATCAGGTCCCCCTCATACTGGTGGGGAATGATTTTAGCGGATCAGACAATCCAACTGTGGTAGTGACGAAGCAAGAAGTAAACGATCAATGCAATCTACATCAAATACAACAGTATGTCGAGGGCGGAACACGGAGAGAAATATTCCAATGAGTCATACGAAAAGAAGTTAGAAATAGCCCTACAGTACATCATTTGATTTTGTGTATGCACATTCGAATATCTTCATACATTATCGTGTGTGATTTAGAACTTTTCATAAGCCAATATAACCGCTGACTCGCTTAGTACACCATGTCTTCTCAGGAGGTATTCGATATCAGCGGAAAATCATACTAATGTATCTGCACCGTTCGTGCTTATAGCGCAGCTTCTGCTAAAGAATCCACCTCCCAAAAAGGTATGAAAGTTGCAATAAGATACTCAGCTTGTCCCCAGTTTACATGTCACGTGTCCTAGTATGTTCTGCTAACGAATAAATTCAAAAAGGGGACGAAGATATACCCAGCCTATCTCGGGTTTACTTATCACATGTCATGCATGTTCTGTTGAAGAATTCACCCCTAAAAAAAGATGATGAGCGCAATGAGATGCGCAGCTTATCTCGAGTTTACTTATCACGTGCCATGCATGTAAAGAGATAGATACAATTAAATGGGACCAAGAATGATTTGCGTTTCTTTTGAAGCTCGGCACTTTCTCAAGCATCCCGCGATAACCAGACACCCTTGATGTTTTTGTAGCGGAAAGATAAAATTCCCGGAGAGGAGTAACCCGTAGACTCATATGGAAGAAAGGATCAACAAATGGATAATTGTTGACTCAGCCTCATCAATAATTAAAATATATTTAGATATCACGTACTCAAGAAATTAGGAGCCGCAGACATTAAAACATACCAGTACATAGGAAAGAACAAAATGATTATTTCGTGTTTAATATTGTAGCTTTTGCACGGAAAGTGCTACTCAACCCAAAATCAAGAAGCGTTGCATCTGGCATGGTTCAATTCGCATGCTAATCTTGCTGCAGTTTTAACGAAATCTTAACTAAAGACACCTGGCCCGTTTCCCGACCACCATCTGTTTATATTAATGGGGAGCGGCTCTCTCACACAAGGCCACCAATAGTAACGGCTCCTATACCCATGACGCACTTGAACTCTCCCCCGCCTAGGTGTTTGCCGCGACGTCCTTCCAAATGTATGAGTACAATGCCTCTCAATCTATACGTTTAGCTAACATTTGCCAGATACGCAGCTTGCTGAGATATAGTAGAACGCGAAAGCGTCATAGCACCTTCACTATTAACTTCATTTAAAAGCCAACTTATATGCTGTTCTATGTTCTATTTATCCATCTCCGAGTCCAGGCATTTGTTCTTCGTCTATCTGATACGGCATGATCATAGCAGATGAGCGACGCACCATGATGCTCGATCTATTCCTTGTAGGTTCTACCACAACCTCGTCTTCGGGAGTGAGATCGACATTCACACTCTCTGTGGCTAATGCGGCCATTTCTTCCATTCTACGAACGCAATCTTTTATTTCATCGACGGGGCAGTGCATCACGATCTCGCCAATCCAAACTGTGAACGAGTAGAACGATTAGATGGACGTAAGCATCGCACAAGAGATAATAGGAGGAAGATGAAAGCCAATGACAGACTGCATTGTGCACCGATGCGACTTAACAATGGAATTGTAAGTTACGCATTCCACATAGTTCGTTGCCATCCGCAGTAATGTATTTCAATTTAGTATTGACAAGTAACATATAACATACTTGGAACCTGTGTATCGTATCCCATCACCATCTCACCACCCTTAAGCCATGCGGTTGCGCTTTTGACTCCGGGTGAAGCCGCAACCTTGTCCATATAGTTGCCATCTAGAAGCTTCCCGGTCTTGGGGCAGCAAAGGAAGTAGGTCACTGCACCCTCCCCACTGTTCTTGACTATGGGTTTCACTGGGACCTGTCAGTGAACATGATTGATTGACTATGCTGACAATAGATATGAGACAAAAAAATCACATCTATTCGTTTACTGCAGCATGCACTCCTCGCCACATTAAAACCAATTGGCGACTTGAAGTATGACAACGAAGCCTACGGAAACATCCGCAGAATGCATACTTACGTTCATATTTGTCATGAGAAATTCTGCGAGCAGCTCCACCCCATACAGTTGGTTATTGAAGTACCTGATGGGACCCCCTAAAAATTGAACCAAGGTGTGAGAAAACATATATAGCTAAATCATGACCAACGATAATACGCAAACGAAGGCAATTGTTCATTTCAAGCACAATGCTCGCATCAAAATACACACCTCCCACCCTTGGGTTGCACTCGAGAAGAACAGGCCCGTGACTTTCTGTGTACATGCACTCAGTGTGAAACACTCCCTTGAAGAACCCCAGGGCTTTGATAACTTTCATGCAGTAGTCGATGAGTTCTCTTTGGACAGCCTCTGATGTGACTGATGGCGAATTACAACCGTTTTCTAAGAAGTAGGGCGGAGTAGGCTGTGCAAGAAAGTAGTGTATGTCTTTTAAACATTTAGAACCTGAGTATCTGACTCGCATCCTACACCAGCAAATGATATAGTATCTACTAAATTTTAATGAAGGCCATAGCACAGGTACATAACTTTGCCGTTCTATCGCGAGGAAACGAGATAGTTATCCGTTACACATAAACATGTGGCACACTCCATAAATATTTGGTTCAGTACTATTCTTAGCCGCGTACCATACCTTCCAATTGTCAGTGACTCGAGCATAGGTACATTCATTGTCCCACACGACAATATCAATGTCAAACTCTCCGATAGGGAGACCCTCAAAGTCCTTGGCGATGAGCAACTGTGATGTGATAGTAGGTAGAAAGTTGTACTAATATCAATGCACAAGTCGATATAAAGATGGACTCCATAGAATTACGTTTCTCACGAAACTGTGAGTCCGGTAGTTTGAGACGCGGGTGTTCTGTGAGGTGTGTGCATATGTTTATGCATATATGTGAGTGTCAGTGTTTGGTACAGGGTAATTTTACATACAAGTGCTTTGAAGGCACTGAACTTACTTCTTCGATCATGATGGGGGCATCGCTGGTAACACCTGGTGTATACGTAAGCACAGCCTCTCCTGTACCACCTACTTCCTCCAATGCACGGTCCACACTCTCATACAATTCAGCTTCATCGAAAGCTTTATAAACACCTGAGAAAAAAACCCCACAAAAGGTAGTTGATGTGAACGAGGAACATATCCTTTTCAGACAAGCAATGATCGCGATCACTTTGCACTGCACTCGCTGCAGCAACCTACCCTTCGACCCCGCACCGCTCACAGGCTTAATGATAACTGGATAGTCAATCTTGGCCATTATTTCCGTGATATCCTCTCTTTTGCTGAGTAGCGCCATTTTAGGAGCCGCTAACCCTGCTTCGTGGAGAGCTTCCCGTGTCTTATATTTGTCACGCGCCTTCTGAAACGCAAGGGCTGGGTTCTGCTTAATTCCCAGGTATTCGCAAACCTAGAAATGTCGTGTTAGAGAATCAGCACATACAAGAGCGTCGTAAATATTCAGCTGATTTTCCTTGATCATGGGGTGGGGGGGAAATGGCCCTTCTTGATGCAGGCATGCTAAGTAGACATGTGTTCACACAGACAAAAGAGGTATATACCTGGCCAAGAACCGTCTGCAGATTCTCTGTATGTGTAAATACACCGTCCATCTTGATTCCAGTTTCTTTCACAGCGTTAGCGATATTCAACGCCATGTCATCGTCATCCCATCCATCAACCGTGATCAAGTTATCATACCACTCTGGTAGTTGACATGAAGAACGAAACAACGGTGTTTGAGCGAACGTGAATCAGTTATGTCTTAGCACTTTCTCGCACGTTTCGTGTAGACATGCAATTGCATGCTATCAACTATTGTTGGACTCTAACGCTCAAAACTTAAAGTAGCCAGCGGCCAAAAATATATGAAGATGCATATACCTCTTTCTTGTTGTTGTTCTTCCACAACGGAACGCTCGCCCTCGGGCATTTTGGGTGACGCGAGATGAATTTCAACGGCGTATTTCTGCATGAACACGGTGTACCACTCCACCTGGTCATGATTCAATGTGTATGGTTGAGAAAGTTGGACAGAGTCCAAAAAGACTACAGTGGATGAGAATTTCGGAGTGAGTCCAAGTCTTTTACGACCTGACCCCTCCAATACTACAGAATAGCCAACCGCACTACTATCGACTCATAAGCACAAACTTAGAATTGTGGTGGGTTGAAGTCAGACTTGAAATTCCTACTCATGAAATACATTGTGCCCTTATCTGACAGCGGAGCATTATTTGAATAACCAACCATTACTACTTACAATGCTGACATTTTCAATTTTATCAGCCCTATCTACCTATATGTGATGCATCACGTGCAAGTCATTCTGGGCAACAATTTCCAATTAAGTATGCATAAACTATTTACAGTGTGCGGAGATCTCTTATCGAATCGATTAATAGACATTGTTCGCTGCTGGTGGCAACAATGTAGCACTATAAATACACGGTAAGGTTGAGAAATAGTCGAGCAATGGCCGAAAGTATTGAGTGTAGTGTTTACCATGGGCACGATTTATACATAGTGAAATACACCTAGAGAATGTGGCATGGTAATTCAAATATACCCAATTCAACGCCAGAGCGCCCATGCCACATGTTGTAAATGAATGATGCGATAGGACCAGGCACTTGAGACCTTTCATCTGTTCTGCCTGCGCCTGAGTGATTTGAGGCCAGTCGATATCCTCGACGGCCGGGGCCAAAGTTGCTTTGTATGACATTTTCAGATATATATCGATACGGAACCTTTTCAGGTATTCTGTTATCGAATATTTATAGTTTGCATTCCAACGAGCGAGTTATATACATATATTTGGAGACAGCTGCGCACAATACAGCCACAAATTGTACGTAAAAAAAGCTAATATGCCCTCTACTTTTAAGAAAAATATTACCAAATAAGGCTGAAAATATTAAATCCTACACAATAAATTCCAAAATGTGCCCGCGTTTTTGTGAATATTTGTAACCAGCCTGTTGAATGTAGCAACCACTATTTAGGGTTATATTGGCCACTGGTATTAAAACTAGTTGCCAGCAACCCCTGAAAACGTCTGAGAAAAAAAGGTGGTATATAGACTATAAAAACTAAAACTGATGACCCTGAAGAAATCCTAATGAAACACAAGAAGTTTAGCCTGCTGGGCCTTGGGGCAAAATTAAAAATCAATTGTTTAAGAAGGCTATGTCAATATGATGTGTTTATGTACTAAAAACTGTAAAATGCGCCCTGAGTATTGGGACACGCGAACTTCTGAACAGAATTGGTTCATGTTTATTTTATTTCTCTTTTATATAAAAGAGAATATTATGGAATATTTATACCGTAAATAAACTGTGTTGAAATTGTGGGAAATATTATTCCAGCGTGGGAATATTGGGTGAGCGTGGGTCAATAGAAAAACCAGGTTTGGGTTTAAACCAAGAGGGGAAGTTTAGCCTGGCCCGAAACCACCCTCAGAAACCATAATCAGGGTTGATATGTCAGCTCGGCAGAGGTATGGTCTTGGAGAAGTGTATGTGTAAAATATTTGTATTTGGGTTTAGCAAGACACTTTGTGAGGAGGTCAACTGGGTTTTGGTGGGTGCTGACTTTGCTCAATGTAATCATGCCAGATTTAGCACAGTCGCGGATGTATAAGCCCGGACCGCGATATGTTTTAGGCATTTGGCAGTGCCCGTGCCGAGTGCGACCTTAATAGCAGATTTGTTGTCGACGTGGATGTGAGTCGCGGACGAGATAGCGAGTCCCATGGCATTGAGGATATTCCGAATCCATGCGAAATCTCGTGTAGTCTCGGACTCGGCTATATACTCCGCTTCCGTCGAGCTTATGCTAACTGTCTTCTGTTTCTGGTTGCGCTAGTGAACGGGAGAATTGTGTACCAGTGTGTGACTTACGTGTGAGGGGAATAGTTATGAAGGCAACAAGATCAATGTCATCCCTAAGGGTAACCAGACCAACAGAAACGGACCGCCGGTAGGCAACCCTACGCCCAGACATAGGGAGGTCAAGAACTGTAGTGAGATTGATTGCAATTGGCGAATGACCCAACATGAGCCGAATGGTAGATGGAATGGAAGGCACATAAAAAATTGTAAACACTTTACCGAGAAGTGTGCCGACTGTACCGGGACTGGAGGTTACCACAAGTATACATGCAAGGTGAAATCAAAAGTTGAAGTTAAGTGACAAACATACCGGGTCTTGTCACTAAGACCAAAGGACGCACCTCAAGACGAGCGCGTAATCCTTGATATACGAGTTAACGGACATGAAATAAAAGCGTTGTTAGATCCGGGCTCGCAAATTTCATGTATATCCTCTAGATTCTGTAAAATCACAGACGTAACTTGTAAGTCAGAGCCAACTATGTTGAAACTGGCTGATGAAGGAGAGATCACTTGCAGAGAAATGGTAATCGATCTTAGGTTACATTAACAGACCAACGTACAACAGTTACTAAGGCAGTCATATGTAACACTTCACCAGACTATGATCTCATAGTGTAAACTTCGATGGAAATTACTAGGTTTCAACTATATTAAACTAAAATACAATTTAGTCAGTTAGGATTTAGCAGTGGTAGCTTGTGTAAGAATGATCGGGACTGTCGGAAACCTGTTTGTTATGTTCTGCGGCGAACATATCAACAGTAAATGGACCCCATCGTGATTGAGCGAGGTTAAACCATTTCTTATTTAGCATCCAATCGGTTGCTAATAACACCTGGACTGTTTTCTGGTAGTCGGACACAAGTCGAGAGAGCATGTCAGGAAGATGGTCATGTATTCCTGGTATGTGTGTTATATTAAAAGCGAACTTAGCAATAATGTCATGCCAGCGGCTCACCAACTGTGAATCAGGGTTTATATCTTTTAAGTATGTTAAAGACTTTTGATCACAGGCGACAGTAAAGTAACTTCCATAAAGGTGGTTTTTAAACTGTCTTAGCGCAGTAACTATAGCAAGGAGCTCTTGTTTAACGGTAGGGTAATTCCGTTGACTCTTATTATAACTCTTGCTAAAGAATTGTATGTAGCGCGGTTTACCATTTATCGTTTGGTAAAGCACTCCACCTACCGCTCGATCTGAAGCGTCGGTTGCTACTTGGAATGAGACACCATCCACAGGGTACTGCATGATGGGTGCGTCCATTACTTTACTTTTGACTAGTTTAAATGCATCATCACATTCTTTAGTCCAAAGCTTTCCCAAAGGTCCTTTGTGCAGCCGTAGGTGACTGAAAGGCTTTAAGTAATGAGAAATATGCGGTACCGAATCCGAGAAGAAGAGAACAAACCCACACACAGAGTTCACATCTCTTCCAGTAATTGGTGTTGATAAATCCAACATAAACTGTTTCTTGCCAGGATCAATTTCTACCCCTGCTGCAGATACTTTGTAGCCAAGTAAGTGTATAGTATCTTTAGCAAAAGAACACTTATCTTCGTTAATCTTAAGTTTAGCATGATTAAGTCGCTTTAAGACTTCTTTAACGAGTTTATGATGTTCATGTGCTGTCTTTGTAAAGATAACTATATCATCTAAATAGACTGATACGTTATACGACAGGTCCGCAAATAGTTCCATCATAACTTGTTGGAAGAAAGAAGGTAACATGTGTAAGCCTTCAGGTGCACCTTTAAACTGGCAC